GCATAAGCATAGTGCATAAGCTTTTGCTATATAAACTCGATACTATGGGTTTTCCGACAGCTCTGTTAGGCTGTATTTCATCATACTTGGAGGGTCGTACCCAAAAAGTCATTTTCAATGATTCATTTTCAAAAAATATTGTTGTTTTTTCTGGCGTACCTCAGGGTAGTCATTTGGGCCCTTTACTTTTTGTTTTGTATCTTAATGATCTCCCGGATCACATTCGATTCTCTAAAATACTAATGTATGCTGATGATGTGAAGCTTTACATGCATGTAAATTCCCTTGACGATTCGACTTTCTTACAGTACGATTTACATTCCCTTGTGAACTGGTGCAGTGCCAACGGTATGTCCCTTAATCTTAAGAAATGCAAAAAATTTTCCTTGTCACGATCTCAGCCAATACATTCTAACTACTTTATTGGTTCATACAAATTAGAAAATGTTGATTCCTTTACTGACCTCGGTGTTATTCTAGATCCTAAACTACGTTTTCATTTACATATTGACTCATGTGTTAATAAAGCCAAGTCTTTACTAGGTTTCATAAAACGCTGGTCTAAAGAGTTCGATGATCCATATGTCACCAAAAGATTATTTGTAAGTTTAGTTCGCCCAATATTAGAGTACGGATGTATTCTGTGGAGTCCTTTTTATAAATGCTACTCAGATAAAATCGAATCAGTTCAAGTTCAATTCCTGATTTTTGCTCTACGGGGTCTTAACTGGAACCCGACAGAATTACTTCCACCTTATGAAAATCGTTTACTGTTGATTGATCTCCCAACACTTGAAAGGAGGCGGTTTATGCTAAGAGCGTTATTTATTATCAAATTATCACGCGGTTTGATTGATTCTCATTTTTTAACTGGGGAAGTTACTTATAATATTCCTTCTCGTAGAACTCGTCATTTCGAACCTTTAAAGTTATCTCTCGCAAGAACTAATTTCGCAATCAGTAACCCATTGAGATCTTTATGTGTAATTTACCATAGTCTATCTAATAGTATTTGTTTAAGTAATTCGTTGAACTCTATTAAAAGATCTATTCTCCACATGTGATTGTATATGTTCACTTACCTATTTTTTTTTATTTTAAAAGCTCATTTTTGCGGCACCTGATCTACATCTCCCTTTGCGGAACCAGTAGACCCAGCCTTTGAGCACTAGTTGTCAGAATCTTTATGTTCATTTTAACGGCACCTAGTCTACAATTCCCTCTGCGGAAACAATAGACACCAGCCTTTGAACAGTAGTCTTTGTTTAACACATTTTTTTTCACTGTTATTTGTTTATATTTGTTATATTTGTTATAAATGTTTATGTTTTGCTCTAATTCCTTCTATAGTGTATTTTTACCTATTACTTTGCCGGCTGATGTACTAGACTGTAGCTGGCACCACTAACTCACAACTAACCCACCATTCCCGGTCTTTGGTGTGTACGCGCTCCCTACGTATGGGGAGGTCGCCCCCTCGGTCGGCAGGGGTGGGAGTGAGAGGCGTGGGAACGAACGAAAAAAAAAGAAACCTTGCACTTGGATATTTTTCATGCGGAAAGTAAAATATTTTTAACATTCCTAGATCATGTTCAAAATTCCAAACAATCAAAAAAATAGATGATAAAACACGATTAGATGAGAAAGTACTAGAAGTTTTTGTTTACAGATTGTTGTTCAAGAAAAAAAAAACAAAGTATATGTATTCTTGATCAGCTTGAAATTCTAGCTCGATATAGTGACGTCCGACCGTATGCCTTTTGTAATCACGTTATCTTTCAAACGAATTGAGATAGGAGTCTTGAATTGTGCACACATTTGCATTTTGTAAAGTTCGTAAATTGGTCATGTCAGTTACCATTTTCATTTAGCGTCCATGTAACCGTACCTCCCGATATTCGCTATTTTGACGATATAAGCCACATTTTCAAATGTATTAGCATTCGGCACTTAGAGTTTGTAACGGATTCCGCCTCCTGTGTATTGTACATATGGGTTCATGTTTTCTTATAGCCCCCTATATAACTTTTAGCTGTAACATTGTTTAAAATCCGGTACTTAGTGTTTGTAACGTGTTCCACATTCTGTAGCAAAACATTGTCTGCATAGCTCCGCGTTTTCTTATATCCTCCATACAACTATAACTCCGTTATTCAGTATTTTTGGAATATAAAACACATTTTAAAATGGACACATTGACAAGCACTCCATCAGGAAAACGGTAACATCTTTACTGCACTTTTAAGATATTTTACCAACTAATTTTTATAAGTTTCTTTACCTAATGGTAGAGTTTGTTAATAGTTCGTCCCAGTCGCGTTTTACCTTCTTAATTCTAAAGTGTTTTGAGAGATCATTGTACCAACAGCTGTGTTGATGCCGTTACCTTCTGAAAAAAAATTTTTTTTTTTGATTTTGTTAACACGATAAAAATTATGCTGATACTAAATCATTAATATGTTGATAATGGGATGTTTGGCATTTTCCTTTGAAATTTTCGGTCAGTTTAATAACGTTGAGCTGTACTAAAATAATCCCAGAGATATCATGAAGTCGTAGTGTAGAGTAGTGTCATTGCAAGTTATATCATGAGATTTTGCTAATGATGACCAAACTGCTACTCCGTAAAACATTAAAGGTTGGGAAATTCCTTTGAATATTAGTTTCTTATTTTCAATACTACAGACTTTCTATTTATAAATGGATACATACGTCGGATTTGCTTATTAATTATGTCCACAATGTACGCAAAGTGGTTCTTGAAATTTATTCTAGTGTCAAGTATTATATCCAAGTACTTGACGTTGGTTTTAGAATTTTATTGTGATTATTAAACAGGATTGGCCTCTGTAGAACAAGACGTGATTAACGTTTTTCGTGAAATATATAGCTTCTCTTTTATCTGTATTAAAATATGTTTTGAAAACTCATTGAATCAGCAGCTATGTTCATGCATCTACTTGTATCATTTTAGCATGAGTTCAAAATAAATGTTGTTTTTTTAAAATTTGTCATTCGATTCTCATTTACGTACCGGTATACGTAAAGCCAGTCATAAGGGTTTAGCGAAACCCAAAATAACTCGACTTTGAATCATTGCATTTATGGTATTGATTGCCTTGCCCATGGCTTAATAAGAAAGGTTGCTCAATTTCAAAGAAAATAACTCGACTTTGAATCATTGCATTTATGGTATTGATTTACGATTGCCTTGCCCATGGCTTAATAAGAAAGGTTGCTCAATTTCAAAGAAACTACAAAAATGCAACTCTGTGCTGGAGTCTTATAGTGTCAAATAGATTTTTAAATGTGCAACAGTTGGTTTTGTTTATTTTTCATTTGTTAACAAAATTCTTATAATGGGAAAACCCGCGAAACAAGAATGGAATCTTAGCGTTATTCCACAAGATGGAATCTAAAATAGTAGGACAATAAAATTTCATCCCAAAATTGTTGTCCATTAACGTCGAAAGTATGAATTTATTTTGCAACCAAGAGAACAGAGTAAGGGCACCAAAAGAATAAAATTATATTTAGGGGGTTGCTTTGTTCTACCTTCTGTAATTGTGCCATGGTCTTGCCCTGATTTATACTAATATAATTTACTGGCGAGAATTTTAACCGTTCTTTTTTAACATTCCCCTTTTGTTGATACAAGGTAATTGTAGCAATTATTGTCTTGTCATTTTTTAATTTGTATTTTTACGTATAAACAAAGTTAATATACCCTCCTTTCCAAGGTGGAGGGTATAAAAAGGGAGTTGCCAGAAAATTGCTAGAACGGGCAATTTTTTCCATTCCCCTTACCCCTCACCAAAAACAAAAATTGTGCCAGAAAACTTGCCAACAAATTCGGATCTTTTTAAAACTGGACAAAAATTATTGCTACGAATAAATGGACAAAATTTACAGATTTTGTAGCGAAATTGATCTTTAGAGATATATAGAACATGATTGTGAAAAGAAACTATGAACTTTCATTCAATTTTCGCGTTTTATACCCTCCACCACACTGCGGAGGGTATATTAACTTTGTCATTCCGTTTGTAACTCCTCGATATACTCATGTCAGACCCAACAAAGTATATATATATATTCTAGATCAGCGTAAAATTCTAAGGGAGTTTAAGTTCGTAAATGGGTCATGTAGGTCCACGTTTTCATATAACGGTACCTGAAATTGTTTGAGATGTCGTTTTTAAGTTCGTATTGGATACTACAGCTTATGACAGAAAATTGTCTGTACAGATCCACGTCTTCGTATAGCCCCCCTACAACCGGTACCTCCCAATATTCGGTATTTTGACGATTTTAGCGTCATTATTTACCGGAGTAGTAGCTTAATGGGAACTACAGTCTGTGACAGAAAATTGTCTATGCAGGTCCAGGTCTTCGAAGTTAGTAATAGATGCTACAGCCTGTGACAGAAAATTGTCTATGCAGCTCCACCTCTTCGTATAGCCCCCATATAATGGTACCTCTCAATATACGGTATTTTGATAATTGTAGCTACCAAAAATACCTATGTAGGATCACGTCGTATAGACCCCAATATAACGGCTATATTCGGAACTTTTAACGGATTTTATGTTTTTAAAATTTCCAAATTCGTTCCAAATGGTGGAGGGTATTCAAAGCTCGGCCTGCCCGAATTTACTGCTTTTTAACTTGTTTATTTATATTAAAAATCAATGCAGCAAGTTGTTTTGTTTATTTAATTGTTTTGATAGTAATTTTGACATTGCAAGCCCTACAGCTTTTATATGTTTTCTTATAAGACGGAGGTTCTATGATGTGCATTGTTCAACAATTTTAACGAATTTGAATAATTTTTCGTTCAAAAATTTCAATTTCAAAAATGGTTTGACAGATCATTGTACCAGCAGCTGTGTCGATGCGATTACCTGTACTCTTCTAACATACAATAAAATGTTTTCTATTGTACAATTAAAAAGACCAACCTATTGTCGTGCATTACTATGGCAACACATCCAAACACGATGATCACCTGACAGTCTGTGAACTTCATTGGTTGCAAACGAATTATTTTGTGGATTTTGTTTTTCCGAGTTTTGTACCTTATTTTTTCGAGCATTGTGTTAATTCTTTTAACTTGACTATTATCGAGAACAAAAATTGATCGAATTTTGAATAATTCATGTTTGAATCCCAGAAGAAACTATAAATGTTCAAGTTGCTGGGCGGATTTTTGTAAAAGTCCAGGTTGTTTATAACTCTTTTTTTAACATCAAAACATTTCTGTTCGATTATTCGTGAAATCGTTTGCGCAAACACAAGTGTCTTTTTATATGCAAATTTTATGTAAGCATCAATAACTTCTACTGTATGAAAGAAATAACGAATAAAACAAAAATTAACAATTGTCTTGCGCTACGACGAAATTAAAGGGATCATAATCTAAAGGTAAACATTTGATTTGAAAATATGTGTCTTGCTGTATTAGCGAGCTCTTACAATTCACATATGATTGGCCGATAGTAACGAATGTAAACGGAGATTATTTTAGAATTTCTATCTACATAGCCAACCAAATGTTCGATTGCAAGGATAGTGTTCAATCGTCGGTACAAATGATATGGTTTGCCATTGGCACTTGCACTCCTTTTTGCAAAAAATGGCAAGCAAAACTCCAATCATTTTTACACCTTCTACCATGGATGTTAGGGTATATTAAATTTGTCACACCGTTAATAGCACCTCTAAATATTCCAGCATTATCTACAATTAGGGACAAAGGAACAACTCTAGTTTAGCAAACTCTTAGATTTTTTCGAAATTTTTTCCAGAGGTAGGTATTTTTACCCTGATCCCGGGAAACTATTTTTTTCTTGGGGGACGGACCCGGGACCCCAGATTTTTGACCCAAAAGTCCGGGATCAAGACCCCGCCTGGACCCGGATCCACTTAACCGATATAGACAATATGGGTATCGATTGTGGAATTATGGAAATACCTATCCAACAAGTGGCCCCATGAAGGGGTAAGTTGTCATGGTTCGGAAGTTATAGTCAAATTATCGATTTTTTGGACCCGGATTTTTTATGAAACCCCCAAAACGTCAAAAAGGGCCCATTATGGGGGTCAACAAAATTGTTTCCAAATTATAGCTGACACTCTTACCTTTCCAAAATGCTACAATTTGTGCTAATACCTTTTTCGGTTCCAGAGATATGGGTCTTTCCATCCGCATAACCCGATTCTAACCAGTTCATTAAAATTATGTTTTTAATAAAAAAAGTGTTTATTCCGCGTAGCAGTCGTCGGAATAACAAAAGTTTTCTAAATTTGGCACTTTTTGTAAATAGCCGGCCTTCGGCCGGGGCTTGAGGTTTTCACCTATGGGTATGTCCGACCCCGGCTAACGCGAACAAAAGATTCATAATTTCGGCACTCTTTGTAAATAGCCGGCCTTCGGCCGGGGCTTGAGATTTTCTCCTCTGGGTATGTCCTACACCGGCTAACGCGAACCAAAGTTTTCTAAATTGGATACCTTTTGTAAGTAGCCGGCCTTCGGCCGGGGCTTGAGATTTTCTCCTCTGGGTATGTCCTAAACCGGCTAACGCGAACCAAAGTTTTCTAAATTTGACACTTTTTGTATATAGCCGGCCTTCGGCCGGAGCTTGAGATTTTCTCCTCTGGGTATGTCCCACACCGGCTAACGCGAACCAATGTTTTCTAAATTTGACACTTTTTGGAAATAGCCGGCCTTCGGCCGGGGCTTGAGATTTTCTCCTCTGGGTATGTCCCACACCGGCTAACGCGAACCAAAGTTTTCTAAATTGGATACCTTTTGTAAGTAGCCGGCCTTCGGCCGGGGCTTGAGATTTTCTCCTCTGGGTATGTCCTACACCGGCTAACGCGAATCAAAGATTTCTGAATTTCATTCTTACGCAAAATATACCTTTTTTATTGAAAACATAATTTTAATGAACTGGTTAGAATCGGGTTATGCGGATGGAAAGACCCATATCTCTGGACTCAGTAAAGGTATTAGCACAAATTGAACCTTTTTGGAAAGGTAGAAGTGTCAGCTATAATTTGGCATCAATTTTGTTGTCCCCCATAATGGACCATTTTTTAACTTTTTGGGGGTTTTATAAAAAATCCGGGTCCAAAAAATCGATAATTTGACTATAACTTCCGAACCGTAAGATCTTACCCCATCATGTGACCACTTGTTGGATAGGTATTTTCATAAGCTTTCCAACGATACCCATATTGTCTATATCGGGTAAGTGGATCCGGGTCTAGTAGGGGTCTCGAACCCGGACTTTCGGGTCAAAAATCTGGGGTCCCGGGTCCGTCCCCCAAGAAAAAAATAGTTTCCCGGGATCATGGTTAAAATACCTACCACTGAAAAAATTTTCGAAAAAATTGAAGAGTTTTTACTAAACTAGAGTTAAGCCGGGACAAATTTTTATGTAAAATAATGTGTATAGACCACTAACCAGATTCTGCCTCTACATCTATATATAGAAAGTCAGCTAATCTGATGGCTTGGAGCCGATGATCCTGGGGACAGAGTTTGGTAGTTTGGGAGGGCAATTAAAAAGGTGCAACGTATCATAATGCCGCCCTATATCACCCACTGCGCCGACGTTCTGCACATCTTCATCAACATGCGTCTTATATGAATTGGAACTCCGTGAATGTAGTTGAGCTACTACTACCCTAATTTGTCTTGACAGTCGACATTCTTCAGCCGCAATAGACTACATCGACTGTTATGGTTGACTGCACCAGCATGAATGCTGTTCAAAACTGGCTCATAGGCACCCTGATCTATAGGCTCTTTTATGTCTTCGACAAGTTCTCACGCAGGTCCTTCCGGTGGGGCATACTGTCCACCATATGATGATTTGTTGCAGGTACTACAACAAAAGCATATTATGACTATCCGAAGATATTAATGTTGCAATTCATTAAATTGAGATTTCCTCCACTAATATGTATATTACCTTTATAGCTTTGTAATTCCGAAGATTTTGACTTTAAAGTCGAATTCCGGCTACTTACAAAAATTATATTTAGAAAAACTATGGACCGCGTAGCCGGTGTCGGACATATCCCAGATGAGAAAATCTCAAGCCCCGGCTAAAGGCCGGCTACTTACAAAAATCTTAATGTTTTTAAAAACTATGGATAGCGTAGCCGGTGTTGGACATTCTTTAGAGGAGAAAATTTCAAGCCCCGGCCGAAGGCCGGCTAATTACCAAATGTACAATGTTTAGAAAAACTAAGGATCGCGTAGCCGGTGTTGGATATACCCCAGAGGAGATCATCTCAAGCCCAAATTCTGTCATAGGAGGTAGAACCTGTTACAAACTCTTGGTATGAATATTCCCATAAGAAAAAGTGGACCTATACAGACAATGACAATGATTTGCTACAAAAGGTAGAACCAGTAACAAGCTCTAAGTACCGAATTTTAGATAGCTCTGTTAGAAAATGTGATCTAAATACTCAAAATACAGAATATCGGGAGATACTGTCATATGGGGGGTATAAGAAAATATGAACCTACACTTGTGGCCAAAACTAAAGTAACTAAAATCGCAAAGACAATAAATGTTCTGTAAATTTTGCAAAAACAAACAAACAGCTTTAAATGAGGAACTTTATTGACTTAAAAAAAAAAAAAAAAACTAAAAATAAAAATACAACAATAATTTTGAATGAAAAATAATATATGGAGAACTAAAATGATCCAAATTTTGCTTGGTCAAAACTAAAGAAACTTTTTGATTTTTTATTTTAAAATAACATTTTGGCTAGTAGTCGATAGCATAACCATTATTTTTGTTAGCAGCTGCACACCTGCGAGGCATTGAATCTATAACACGCTCGTTTGATCATTGGATATGCTTTCCCAGGCACCCTGAATTCTTTGGAAAATGTTAGTTTGATATTTCTGTCTACGATACTCCAAAGGTTTTCTATTGGGTTTAGGTCAGGTGATTGTGCCGACCATGACAAAACACCGATTTTTGACTTCCGCAACCAATCTTTGATAAGTTTAGATGCATGTTTGGGATCATTGTCATGCTGAAACACCCAAATAAGCCGAATATTTTCCAACACATTTTTGTAAACAAACCGATCCATAACTTCAGACCAGCCGCCACTACTCTTCTACGCACTGATCTCGAGCTTATATCCAATGATAGCTCTATCACCAATTCAGTTGAACTCTTAAATGGTTGTTTTTTTATATTTCTCTCACGATTTGTTGATCAGTACGGTCTGAAGTTTTTCTCGGCCTTCATCCGTTTTACACTGTTACTACTGATCCAGTTTCATAAAACCGACTTAGTATAAGCGAAATCATAGAAATATTTCTGGGAAATAATTTTTTGCTTGCTTGTTTTCATAGTCACTGGTAATTTGCTGTTTTATTCATGTACTGTATTTGCATCTAGAAATTTTTTAGGTAGTACTTAAAAAAAAACATTCTCATTTTCGTTTTTTTAAAGTTACGGGGCATTCATTCTCCTTGCAATTTCAGTTGCTTTAGTTTTGGCCACCAGTGTATATAGAGCAGGATGTAAAGTCCGTATGTAGGATGTATAGCAGGATGTAGAATCCGTTGCAAACTCTAAGTAACGGATTTTCAACAATACTGTTAGCGTGATTACAACCGACAGAAAGACATACGGACGGACATCACTAAATCTTAAAATTTTACGCTGATGAAGAATATATATACTTTGGTGGGACTAACATGAGTATTTCGAGGAGTTACAAACGGAATGACAAATATCCCCTTCATAGTATGGTGGAGTTTATATTGAAGTTCAAATTCATATTAGTCTTGTAAAATTATGTATTCTTGTAATTGTGGGCAGAGATCTGACATTCACTAAATCGAAAAAAGTTTTCAACTTTTAATTACGAAAAAAACGCTGAAAACCCTATTTGTTGGTATCTTTATAAATTGTATAGTATTGCTTTATTGCTTTAATAATCATAATTAAAAAACAAACCGTTTTTATTAAAAAAATATGTCTGGGCATTTACTTTTTACTAATGACACATAGCGCAATCGAAAAAAACAGGTGCCGTTGGTTTCTTTGCCCTTTTTTGTTGATAATTGCTTCCTTGTTTTTATTTTTTGACGGAACACATTTGTATGACACAGTCCAACATCTTCATTTATTGATAGTTGCATGTTATGTCGACGGGCTTTAGTCTGGGCCATCTTATGAGACATCGAGCATATATGCGTTTGATCAAACAGGCATAACATGACGAGCGTTTTCGATCCATGGTATAAATAAAGAGATATGAAGAAATAACTTAATATAAAAATATGCTTATATTAGCTTGGACTATCTTAGCTTGGCTAATCTTTGTGTAATATTGCGCAAAGAAATCATGTTTTAATCTTTTAGTTAACATTTTTG